TCAGCAGCATATCTTCAGCATACTGCTGCACAAAAAGAGGGGGAACAAAGTAAGGGAAGATGCGAATCTACAGCATGAGAACTGCTGTGTTGGGTGCTTACCTGCAGTGAATATCAAAACAGCATCATCTACAGTGAGAGGGAACTATCCCACATTTACGATCAGCGATCGCTAGAGACGTGGATGGTTACTAGGGAGCAAGTAAAGCTCTGTAAATCCACACCTTAAGCTTACCCTGGGGTAATGCAGCCATGCAGAATATCTTCTTTGTGACCCTTCAGATGTGAGTTCATCTGTGGGTACCTAGCGCCAATGTCTTCCTAACCACCAGAGATAGCTTGAGAGCAGCCAGCTTTGGCTCCTACTCTGAATGGCCCCCTCCATTTGTAACACAAGAAATCAAGGGGATGAGTCTCCTAACGTAACGTTACATTAGGAAATGTATGTGAATGTCTTTTCATAAGTAAGAAAACTACCTCATTGTTAAAAACCTTCTGATTTCTGTTCAAAAGTAAAAGATGAGCAAATCGCACTCCATGGACCACTTAAATCCAGACTACCGTAATAAAAAGGCTATTGTGATTTTTTTTCCCCTAAGCAGCAGCTCGTATTTCATCTTTGCTGGTAGAGTCTCAATTTAAACGCTAAATAACAGATGCATTTAACTCACCCTTAGTAACCGCAGCATTAGGTGAGCCTGAGTCATTAGCATGTTTAACTGAAATAAATAAAAGTGACAACCAAATACAAACATGCATAGCTGATAGAGTATCAAATCAACCAAAACAAAACAAGCAATGCCCTCCCCAAAAATGTCTGCCATAAAAGAAATAAAAAAAATTTAACATAAAGCAATGGATGAACAATGAATTACTGAAAATGTAAAGAAAATATGTTAATGATATGCAGCATTCTGAAACATACTTCATGGGCGATTTAATCATCATTTCGTCCAAACTACCCGGTAGCATACAAGACCAATAAGCCCAGAGCAGCCACTACAAAGAAATTTTTTAAAATCTGCCCAGTCTCTTCGCTCTTATTGCTTACCTTTTTTCTAGGCATTTTTTTTTAATACAGTCCCTCCAACAGTGAACTTGGCACAGAGAGGAAAGGGCAGTTTCACAGTGAGTTTACAAAACCCTCCAAGAACATGCCTCACTTTCAAACCTGCACCTAGTCTCACGGCTTCAAAAGCAAGATGCGTGCACACAAGTGCTTTTCTGGACTAGCGCCAGGGTTATCGGAGGCCCCAGAATCAAACACTGTCTCATTTTTCTCTAATCTGTGTGTCCAAGTGTGTGGGACTGGACACATTATAAAAGCTATGGAGAACAGTATTTCATTTTGATATTTTTCACAAAATTATTACCCTAAGATATGGTTTAAGCAAGTATTAAGATATACAAACCCAGTATTAATTCTTTATCTTTTCATCCCTACAAGAATGCTCTCAAAATCATGTATTAAATATTAAGGCTTTCATTTGGGAAGGAAAATATCCTTGGCTTTCTGGGCTACATAAGCCCCAAAGGTCAGAAGCATTAGTGAAACAGAAGGTTGATATTAAGGGCACAGGAAGCCTAAACTAGTGCCAGAAGCAATACTAGAAACTATTACAACTGAAAGAAATTCAAGCAAAAAGGGATGGATCTCCAGCCAGTATAAGCTGCCTGAGATCCACTGGCTTCTGTAGGGCTTCGCTGATGTAATGCAGCTGAGGTTGCGGCCTAAAACGCTGCTTTGTCCTTTCTGAATATGTGTACTCCCGTCCTTCGTTTCTCAGCCCGTTCCCGTACACCCCATGTATTCAGGCGGCTTGTTCTTTGCACAGCTTGAATTAGCAGCTTGATACAGCAGCAGACACATACACACAAGCACAAGGCACACGCATATGAAGACGGGATCACAAAGCCCACAACACTCCCAGGGAGACCCAGGTGCAGGGACAGTCCCTGAAACCACCTTTTTACGCAAGTCTGCAATCTGACTAGATTCAAAATGATTAGGGTCCTTGTAGCCTACAGAAACACAGAGATGCTATAAAAAGAAAACCCAAGAACTGGAAAGCAGTTGACTATTCCATACTCAGTATTTCATCAAGGAAACGGAAATGTCTCTTGTGTCACTATGGCTGTTCAATCCTTTGACAGAGTTTTAACAGAGGCAGCCTGCAAACAAGATTTTATTTTGCTTCTGCCCGGGAAAGGACTAGCCTGGAACGTCACAGAAGCCACTGCCAAGGGAGGGCCATAAAATGGTCTACAGGGCTTGTTACTAAACAGCAGGCGTTTTCTCCTTAGAGGAGAGGGCAGCGACATCTGCGCCTCCTGGTGATATTCACCATAACTGACACACAGTGAAAGGCAAGGCAAAGAGCCCTCTGCAACTGAGCACACGGTCAGGAACAAACCCTGAACTACAGGCTCAATGAAGCTCCTTTCAAGCTCTCTGACATCCTGCCAGCCAGTGACAAACTCCCACTGATGGGACACCCGAGCTGGTCCCTAACATCATGCTTCCCAGCCTCATCACTAAGCTCGTGGAGAAGGAGGCCACGTAAGATGCTTCAAGGCCCGGTGAAGCCCAGCTGGTGACCCACTGGACTACAGACTTCCCAAATTCATCATCATTACCTTTCGGGGAGAACAGGAGGAAGACGGGCATTTGTGGGGGTGCAAAAAGCTTTTATCAGTTGGACTTAGCCCTTAGAGTAAGGTTAATAACGCAGGAATAAACACAGTAACACGTATTATCTTCAGAGAGAATCATATCAGAGACACAAGGCACACATCTGCCTCTGCTGACACCTGGGGAGTTAAAAAAAGAAAAAAACACGAAAGCAAGAAACCACTCATCTACAGACTTACAACGGGAAACCTTCAGTGTCATTGGCATTTTCTGTACAATCGTCCTCAGTCTTGGAAACGCTGCAAAGCAACAATAATCACTTCGACTGTCATTTTCTTCCACATTTGCAAAGTAGAGATCTCCCTTAAGGCTCATGGAGACCCTTTCATCTTGCGGAATGTGCTGCAAATCTAGCAAGAAAAAATAATTATGATATGGTAATGATACTCAGCTGTTTCACCACTATGACTACTAATACTTTCCTGTCCTATGTTTGCTTCCAGATGGAAAATATAACTTTGACGCAAGAGAGGCAGAAGGCCCAGCCTAACCAGTGAGTTATTTCCCGATCTTCAACATACAGCACTGAGTACCAAGTTCCTGGTCAGGTCAAAGGATAATTCCAGCACCTTTCAATGACTCGAAGGGCTGCAATGCTGATATGGAGGTCACCATTCATAGCTTGCTCCTATAGCTAGTTTCCCAGGCACTTGTTCTTCTGCATTATAGATTCAGTACTATAGATGATCTGTATTACAGATTACAGCAAGCAAGTGTTAGCATTCACTCAGGCTATTGCATTGTCTCGTTGGTGATCTGGCCAAATGGAGGTCTGTGCGAAAGATGTATGTCAGGAGTAGAGAGACTGCCTTATAAGATCAGAGGTTTAATCTGGCATCCTGTCTCTGAAATTACTTGGTCAGCACTAGAAACAAACCCCGAGTGTCGTGAAGGCAATCTGAGTTACTTCTGCTTCTCACAAGCGAGAAATTCCTACAGAATACAAATGCTAAAGAAGAATGCGAGAGAAATCCTCAAAGAACTAATTATGCATACCTGACAGATTTTTTTTCTTCATGTCATAAATTAACCATTAGTTTAGGCAGAGAGAAAAAAAATAATGACAGAAACACATATTTTGCTACATTTTGCCCTCTCCACTGGAAATGCACTGGGCCTCATTACTGGCAGATTCATCAGCTGATTTTTAATCCACCTGCACTCACAGATTTAATAATAAGTTGTGCAAATGCACTCTACAATTTAACGGAGTGTTATGTAAAAACATATCTCCATTCACCGTTTTAACATTTTACTTTTCAGTTTCCAGATCTTTTTCCTAAGCACTTGCACAATTATTATTCTCATCACTTACGTACATCGAATGAAACTGCTCCTGAAGACAAATGTTTTGACTCTCTGCATGTGAGTTGTGTGCAAATTGATTACTTACCAATATTCATCCAATAGATATGCAATGGTGGGATGCCTTTCGGGGGGTTACAATGCAAAATCACAGAATCACCATGCTCCACATCCAGGGGCTCGATTTTTTCTTTTGGGAATTTTGGCACACCTATGTAGAAGGAAAAAAAGTTCCTCTTTATTGTTATCCTTTAAAATTTTGCCTTTTGCTCCTCCCTTAACATACGTCCTGATAAAATATTTACTTTACATTTGCATTCTCTGCCTTTAGTTGCCGCTACTATTTATCTAATGGCCTACAGTAACAATGCAGTTTATTAACAGTAAGAAATCTCTGGTAGCACTCCTCATTCATAAAGTACAAAAGTTGCTGTATCAAAAGCCTGGCTCGTGTTTAACCTTTGTCTGTAATGTCCATAACAGCTTTGGTTAGACTTCATTTTAATGTATTTATTTTCAAAGGTTTTCTCTAGTCCATCTGCACGTACTGTTTGGAAGGGAAAGCTCAAGGCCTTACAGATCCAGAGCCTGAGCCTAAGATGGGCACAGATGAGGGTATGCTGCTGGATCCCTGGCTGCTTGCTGGAGAGCAGAAAATAGGCTGGTAGTACAGTATGTTCTGCAAAATCTTGACTAAAAAAATGGTTCCCACGGAGCCACTGCAAGTCAATACAAGTGATGGCAGTCATCAGGCAACTATTCTGGCTGGTGCCTGGACTCTTATCTCTCGTCAGAATCAATACAGTACGATAAAAAAGCAGTATTGCCTCCTCGTCCCCTCAAGTGTAAAACTGTTGCTGTGCAGACCTGCAGGCTTCCTTAGCGAGCTTGTCCTGCAAGATGCGGAGACCGGCTTTACACAAATAATACTCACGGGTGCACAAGGCTGGCATTATTTAGGCTTAAATATAGATTAAAGTAATTAATGGATCAAGGACTTGATTAAACACTTAGAGCCAAGAGAGTCAACGCTGATGTCAGCGGGCTGTGTGCAAGTACGAAGAAGAAGCGACCATCCGCCATCTACAGAGAGGCGTCAGCCCAAGCTTGAGCCGAGCTAGCCAAGCCTAGGCGACCCAGCCAATCTCCGCAGTCCCAAAGGCGACAGGATTGCACCCGTGCAGAAAGGAAGCGGAGCTCATCTCAAGCCCACACCAAGCTACACGCTGGAAAGCTGCCGTTAAGAGATTACTGCGAACAAATTAACCTGCAAAAAGCAACCACTCCTTAAACAAATTTAGCTGAGACAGTTTCAGGGCGGACACTGTCTTTGCTTTCATCCCAGGCAAGTTCAAACTAGTGAAAGTTTCAGTTCAGGCAACTGCATTAAACAGCAAAATTAACAGCAACTCAACAGCAAAAGAACGAAAGCATCCTGGCTGCCCTGAACCAAACCAGCACGGCAAAAATTGCCGTCTTGGTGTTCAGGACATGAAAGGGAAATCCGACAGAGAATAAAAAAATCTAAGAAGTTAGTGGGACAGCAGCCCTACAGGATAGCTACAACGTCCGGTCTCACAGGAATTCATCTGAGCAGTGGTAGACCACTTTTGGTAAGATTTCCCATCTATAAAAAAGAAACTGAAGCAGTAGATAGTAAGGGTTATATCGTTTTGAAGGCCTAACTATTTAGCATGCCCCTTTCTGCCCCCTAAATATTAATACTATTGGCCCTAACTCACCGGGTTAGTGGAGGGCAGGGTCAGGCTCCGCGATTTGCCTTCCAAAGCCCTACGACACGGTTGCGCGGCACAGGGGCCCGTGGGCAGGACGAGGCCGACGCCGAGCGTCCCTTCTACCAGCACACACCAAAACAGCACAGAGGGGCAGAAACACGGCACCTCCTCTGAGAAGACTTCATACATCATGGTACTTTCCTGGATATTAGTAAATGATATAGTAATAACAGGCAATCACAATAATGTGGATTGCCTGGCCGCTGATTGTGCATAGATTTAATCTCGAGAAAGTAATTAGATTATTAGTACATTATGAATTCTTTGGACAGGCTAATGAACATCACCCACCCTAGAGGTGAAATTTCAGATAATACAGGGAACAATACAATCAAATCCAATACCTTCAATAACCTGCACTCTTCAAGCCCTAGAAAGTGCATCTGCTAACTGCTGGAGAGCTGGAACATTTTCCAGTAGGAAAAAAGTAGACTTGTTGATCTAAAACTTGCTCATTTTTCCCAGCAGCACATTGCTTTCACTACAACTTTAAGAAATCAGGAGCAGGTGAAGGATAGGGGATCTCGGACTAGAGACAGCAAAACAAGGAGATCAGCAAACAGACTAACAGTCAGATCGCTCGCCTACGACACTGGGAACTCCTGTTCAAACCCCTTTTCTGCCTGATATGGCATAAAGACTAAATCCAGGTCTCCAAGATCCTTGCTGGGTACCACAACCACTGGTCTCTTCCATCTGTTTCTTTACCAATAATTACAGAATTATGCAAAAAGATACTAAGTCCCAACCCAGGAGAGTGAAAAATTTTAGTCTTAGAGTCAACACAGTATGACTCAATATGGCCCAGACTTTTACCTCTGCTCCCAATCGGGGGAAGCAGGAACTTGAACCTGAACATCTTTAACAGATACTTGAACCACAAGGTGATCAGGTCTTCTGGGTTCTTCCATGCTGTTTTGTTTTGCTTCATTCTTTGTGAAAACCATTGAAAAATCTTGATTTTCCCACAGTGCAGAACTTGGGAGTATTTTGAACCACTGAAGTTTTGCAAGAGAGGAAAATTCAGCTTTCGTGATGATTTCCTGAGCCAAATTCTTCTGACAACCATATTAAGTTGAAGTTTAGGCCAATGTCCCACTGATTTACATGCAGAGACCCAATCTGTCTCAATGACTAGAAAGAGAACTGCTTCTGAATTCTGCAGGAGATTTACTGAGACTCAGAAGCAAATATCATATTGCACTTTGGCTCCTGCACGTTAAAAGTCTTTAACACGTATATGTAGGCAACATTTTTTGCAGTACTCCTCTGTTGTAATTAGAGGATACTTTTCAGAATCAATCACTACTGATTTGTGACTGATCACAGAAACTATCACATCCGAATTAAGCCAGGAAGTATTATACAAGATTAATTGTATGATGAAAGTGTTTAATACTGTATGGAGTTATCAACGCAGCACACAGACACTGTAAAATTTACAACCAATTGATCTCTCTGCAGTGATACCATTAAAGCTGTCATGTCAATCTTTCATGCAATTCCCCACACACAGCTATAATGAGGGGCCGGAGAATCGAGCACAGCTCCAAGTACTGCAGCTCACGTACCCATGACACAGGGGAGAACAACATTACTTAACGATTCTGCAAAAGGCTTGCTGAAACGCCAGCAGGCGGATGCTCTCGCCACGCAAGCGATCGAGTGACGCATAGAACAGCCATGGGGAAGATGAAAAACTGCACACCTGCCTTCTGGGGTGCAAAAACATCCTCTAAAAGCTCACTGTGGCACGTAAAGCTCTCCAAATCGCCCTGTCAAAGCTGCATCTTGAAGACTGTACGGCACTCCAAGAGCAGAGCCACATTGCTTTGACAGCGGGTAAACTAAGAAAATGAAAGATTATCAGTGTCCAGTCATTTGAATAATGAACCAGGCTCGGTTTAATCCCTTGTGTGACTCAAAGTTTAATGACCAAACTGTGCTTGAGATTAGGCTGAGAAATTAAGTTGGCTGAGAGAAACTTCGGGAAGGAGGCTGGCTCACTCCCTCCTACTTTTTATCCATTCAGAAAATGTCATTTCTCAATGAAAAAGAAAACAGAAGGGAGACCAATACCATACAAAATAGAAACCTAATTTGAGTTTAGAAGTATAGATTCTGCAATGTGTCAACCTGAGTCACAGTACTTTGGTCCTCAGCAGGATTACTTTAGATTTATTCAGGTAACGATCAGCACGTTTAGTTCTGTTACTTAGTTCTTGCCCTACTCCTATCAATTACAGTGGTTTTACACACCTGTAACTGTCCTGACTCCATGAATTTATACTGTTTTACACGAGAAGGGAGCGCACTGGATAATTTATACCAGTTTATGTGAGAACGGAGTGTACTGGATTTGGTATTTCACATGTAAAGTGTTAAAAGTTGAAGTAGAGAAGGAGAAGGATTTTTCCAGGAAACTGTCTAAATTCTTGGGACCACTGTGTCTGGTCTCTACCATAATCTGGTATAAACTGGGAGTGAGCTCATTCCAGTACATTAACAATTAACAAGTATTTTGGGAAACTATCGCAGGAAAATATCTCTATACACTAGGTCTGTTTTTATAACCTTTCCTCTGCTTTTGGACTCTTAAATTTGGGCTATGTGGTTATTTGGTCTGACCTGTAATGGACAGCCTTAAGTTTTTTCCAGGTAGAGAAATCCTTAAAGGATATAAGGATGAGGGAAAAGTGGACAGAGTCAAGAAATTTCTACATCCTGGAAACCCCCCAGCTCCTCAGACACTTTCATCAGTAAACGTTCACCTGTCTGTTCCTCACATCAGCCCCCAGGTTAATCTTTAACCTGTCCAGTGAACAGCCCAACATATCAGAGAATCACAACAGCGACTTACAGTCACCGACTGCATGAGCTGCGTACCGAATACAGCTTGGGCAGTTCCCAGTACTCATCTCAGTGCATCAGCTTCTATTCTGGTCCATGTAGCCTATGCAGTAGTTAAATCTGCAATTTTCACTGCAGCCTTTGAACTGTTCATGAGACGTAACTCTGCTTACTTATGGCTTTTTTAATTGCTGCGTTCCACTGAAGAAGCCAGGAAAGCCTGGCTGTCCACGAGACCGCGGCAGTCACTCCACTCGCCTTCAAAGAAGCTTTTATGATGGAGTCAGTGATGGTCTCTCACTGGGTGTCAATCTCTCTTTACCACTCTTCCTAGAACTATGGGCCCTGGCAACAGTCAGAACGATCCCAACGATTTAGTTGGCCGGGAAAGCTGTCAAAAGTCTAGGACGCTGGTTTAGGAGGCAGGAGACTTAAGTCTTATTATTTGCACAGTGTGCAAATGCTCAGCACGTTACTCTCTTCTGTTTTCTCTTCCATAAAACGAGTGTGCTGTAGTGAACGCCTTCACAAAGTGTGTTACTGAGATCTCCGATTTTAATAGTTA